GCTGAACCTGAATATCCGTATGAGGGATGACATGATCGGGGTCGCACACGTACTTATGCAACATCGTTGCGTGAAATACATTATGAATGCCTGATAACTCAGGAGGTAGGGCTAGACGATACGCGACCTCGCCTACTCGCTCGAGAACCTCGAACGGACCGATGAAACGAGGGTGCAGCTTCCCTCTTTTTCCGAATCGCACAACTCCGCGAATCAGACGAACTCTGAGAAAGGTTGGCTCGCCAACCTCGAACTGAATGTCTCGTCGATGATGATCGGCGGAAGATTTCTGTCGACTCTGAGTTGTCCTGAGTCTCTGCTGTATCAACTCGACCTGCTCCGCTGTCTCCTCGATCATCTTAGGACCGAGTACTCGTCGCTCTCCAACGTCGTCCCAATAGAGAGGGGAACGACACTTGCGACCATAAAGTGCCTCGTAAGGAGCCATCTGAATAGAGGAATGATAGCTGTTGTTATACGCGAACTCGGCGTACGGCAACAACGACTCCCACTTAGCACCCCTGTCAACAACCAAAGCGCGAAGCATATCCTCAAGCGTCTGAATTGTCCGCTCTGACTGACCGTTCGTCTCCGGATGGTAGGCTGAACTGAACTCTAGCTTCGTGCCCATCGCCTCATGCAAACTGTGCCAGAATCGATTGACGAATCTGGGATCTCTGTCTGATACAATCGTGACGGGCACTCCGTGGAGTCGGATGATCCCACGGGTATATATCTCAGCCAACTTGTCCAGAGACATCTTCATCGAAACGGGTAAGAAATGGGCGACCTTAGTCAATCTGTCGACCACGACCCAGATAGCGTCGTGATGTTCAGATGACCTCAGTAATCCCGTAACGAAATCCATAGTGACTTCCTCTCACTTCCACCTCGGAATCGGCAGTGACTGTAGGAGGCCGATCGGACTCTGATGCTCGGCTTTGACTTGCTGACAGGTAAGACACCTCCTGACAAACTCGGCGACGTCCTTCTTCATGCCTCGCCACCAGAACGACCCTTTCAGATCGTGATACATCTTCGTGCTCCCGGGATGGGCCAAGTAAGGTGCGGTATGTGCCTCTGATAAAATCTCCTTCCGCAACGCCTCGACCTTCGGGACCACGATCCTGCCTCTGAACTCCAAGGCACCATCAGTACCTAGCTGAAAGTCCTGGACGCCTCCGGCGCGAACCTTGGCCTCCATAACACGAACAAACTCGTCAGAAGCCTGTTCTCGCCGGATTCTCTCTCTCAGTGTCGGCTGAAGCTGCATTGCACTGACACTGGCACTGGTACTCCCCGAGACATCTATGGGAAGTGCATCGATCGCCTGAAGCTACATCCGGGCAAACTCATGAATCAGCGGACCCTGCTGCGTAATGACGTACGTCAAGTCACCCTTCACCTTTCGGCTTAGGGCATCTGCGATGACGTTCGCCTTTCCCGGATGATACTGGATAGAACAATCATAATCCTTGACAAGCTCAAGCCAACGGCGCTGCCTCAAATTAAGCTCCTTCTGCGTAAAGATGTACTGCAGGCTCTTATGGTCTGTGAAAATCTCGCAGCGTCCGCCGTAAAGATAGTGTCGCCAGATCTTTAGGGCATGAACGACTGCTGCTAACTCCAAGTCGTGCGTAGGGTAGTTCTGCTTATGAGGCTTAAGCTGACGTGAAGCATACGCGACGACCTGTCTGTCCTGCATAAGGACACATCCCAAGCCCCGTCTCAAAGCATCGCTAAAGATAGTGAAACTCCGAGAAGGATTGGGAATAGTCAACACCGGTGCTGAAGTTAACCTCCTCTTGAGCTCCTCGAAAACAGTAAAACTGGAATGTACAAGCTTAACTTAAAGCTTATACTTACTGATTACCTAACTTGAAAATCCAGTAATTTAATAGAATAAGAAACTTGATCTGAACTGAAGAGGCATCAATTCACAATTAAGTGAATTGTAGAATACTACTGACTGAGAATGGACACTTTTCTGAAAGAAAGTGTTCCACTGATAAGACATGATCTCAAAACGAAACTCTGAAATATGTTGGTCATCCTCTCCTGGCTGCTGGCGGATCTCCAATCGGAATGCTGGTGGTGAAGACTCTCTCTGTAATCTCCCAGTGTACTAAGACTCCGACATGGCATCTTTGAATGGAAAGCGTCGGTTTACCATCATGGCACGATCCGTTGTTGTCGATTGGCTCTTCTTCATCGCGGCGAATGTCAACCTGTGGTACCTGCAACTTATTACTTTCTCCGAGGTTAAACCTAACCTCAAGAAAAAGTCCCTCATGATTTAATATCTCCCACGATTTCTCAGATTCTTCAGAATTTGAGAATCGAGGCGCTGACATACTGAAAATGATGGATAAGTCTTGTCTTATTAGACAAACTATCCTCGATCTTAACATGACTGGCTGGAATATTCATCTAACTGAATAACTATGATTTGAATCTTACATGACTGGATCATCTTTGTCCGAACTCTGAAAACTATCCCGAGACAACTAAATAGTCGCTTCGAGATTGAAAACATGATATTTTCTGACTTACTTGACTTGATAAGGTGCGACTTCAAGTTTCCAGGTAAATCTGGACTAATGGTCTGTAGGTCAGACCGCCACATTTTACCCGGCTGAACAACTATTATACGTCGACCTTACATCATAAACATAAACTGTAAATCGTGAACCTGAACTCTGTACTATATAGGGCTGCTCCAGTATCAACTGGTCCCGCAAGTACAAAGTAATTAGCTGATCTTGATTTCTGAAAGTCATAACTTAAAATATCATGACTGATAAAATATCTGACATGACTGACTTGAAAGGTTTGTTATTACCTGAAATCTTACTGATTCGGCCCCAGCTTCAAGCCTCCATGGTATACCTGGCTGAGTGGCTCTTATTTCAAGCCTCCATGGTAACCCGGACTATTGACTCTTATACACTGGAAACCGTTACCTTAACCATGACTTGAGAATTATAACAACCTTTAACATGAAAATTCTTGCCTTGAACATGACTTACTGATCTGACTTAGGAACTTTGAGTCTATTCCTCGAATTAAATCAAGGAATTTCTCCCTGGAGTCTGCCAATTGTTTGATAAAATGGCAGTTCTCGATAAAAATATTTGAGAAACATGATTATTAAGATTTGTTTA